CCATCACACACACAAAAAAGTGGCTATTTATTAGAATACTTGTTTTGTATTGTTCTGTGCCACACAAAAGACGCTTCATTATGTTAGAAGCAAGCCCCCTTTTTGCAGAGAGAAACAATAACTTGGAATTGTCTTTTTTAGAGTGTATAATAAATGTCATTTCTTCTTGTCTCTGCCCCTCAGTGTGTGTTGAGTGGTGGGTTTGGGCACCGGGCACGGATGGCCTTGGCACTCGAGCGGCCAGATTGTAGTGGGAGTAGCGGTCTTACATGAAGCTTTGGAGGGGTTTAGGACGGCTTTAGGAGCATGGAGGGAGAATTCTTCCCACTTTGTCTGGAGTAGAGGGAACGAGGGGGACATGCGTAAGTTTGCATATTACAATTCCTTACGCAAGAAAGTCATTTTTATATACATCTAATCTGTAGTTAAACTGTCTGTTGTGCGTAAAATCGCCTTTTTAACGCGTGGTGGAATTAATTCTCAAAATTATTATAATAATAACAGAGTGAAGCGAATTTGAACGCTTTCTGAATTCGGCGTTTCCGCTTGCTGAAATAAATGTCTTGTTGACAGCCTTTATTTCGGAGCGTCTGTGTTCAGTGCAGTGCAGATAATATGTGTTTCCAGCTGCAGGCTGTCGTTTTATTTTGGAACAAGTGAGCTCCACAAGGGGCTGCGCAAAGCTCACACTGTGGCTTCATGATCCTACAAGTTGCTCTTCAACCAGCTCAGTTAGATTTTTCCGAGGAAAAACGATCGGATGGGGTTATCGCCGGCGCCTACATTTGTTTCGCCGTAAACAAGAATAACTGTCTGATGGTGTAAAATACGAGGGGACGCATTAGACTATCCAGTGGCAGCCTGTTTTCACGCAGGACTCTATGTTTGTCTTGGTGTTTCTACTTTTCCGTAGGTTGTGGGGAGGGCGGGGGCGGGGGGCTGACCGTCACATCTTTAGATTTAGGATGTGTAATTTAAGGCTAAGGAGCAGATGCTTTGTCTCTTAAACTCGTTTAAATAATTAGCTCCACGTTTTGTGTCCGGGGTGTTCAGGACTCCTTTTACTTCCTTAAAACTAACGCCACCCAGTTCCACGAGCGCCGGCTCTTGTGCACTGCTCGGGCACAGCCACAGCCGTGTAAAAACGCTGTCCCCGCTCAGGTTAACTGCATCAAGGGGTAAAAAAAAAAGAAGAAGAAGATGAAAGGGAGGAAGCCAGATATAATCGGTCAAGAGATTTTTTTCTTTTTTTGTTTTTGTTTTTTTTAATTAAGGGGTTCCTTTGCGTGGGACTGATGCCTGGAGGGAGAGTAAAATAAAAAATAAAATTAAAAAACGCATAATAGCACCCGCTGGCCGCTGCGCTCGAGGAGTCGGCACGCAAGCTGGGTGTATTTATTTAAGATTGTTCACTTATTTATATATATATTTTTTATTTTCTTGTGGCCATGGAGGGTGGCAGGGTTGGATAACCGCTTTGACCCTTGGCCCCAGTCGCGCACCATCATCACAGTGCGCACACAACCCGTCACAAAGGCCGCGCACAAAAGGAGCGAGGAGGTTTGAAAGGAGGTTTGTTAAAAGAGTAGTGACTGACGGGGAATGACAGAGAAAGTAAACAGGGGCCACCAGGGTCCCAATGTCACTGTAAAGGCTAATCCTGTGCATACAAGCCTAAAGACACTCAGCACTGAGAACAAATAACGACAATAATAGTATGATTCTAACAAGAGTGACAGTAATAGTAGAAGTCATATTTTCTCTTACTACTGGCTATTTAAGAAAGCTAACGATAACAATTCTAATATTTTTATCAGGATGTCGACTTTTTAAAAATAACTGCTGGAGATGCATTGATGCATTGCAGCACTGGTGTGAATTAAAGCAGAGTCGTGTCAGGGCAGGGTCCAGGCAGGTTTAAGAAATCTGAAAAGCATGAAAATGTATTTAATGCATTTATTAATAGGCCGATTTAATATTATATTATATTATTATATGTGTGCTTACACTATTTAGTTAAAATATGTTTAAATTAAAAGAAAAAAAGAAGGTTAAATGTTTTTATGAATTAGACTTTTAATATTGAGTAGATACTGACAAATCGCTGTATCTGTATAATAAGACAAGAATTGGTTTCTTATTTTCTTTTTCTTTTTATTCGTGCGTGTGTGTGATCGCTTCACTCGCATTCACCTCGCCAAAGCTCTCCGGGTGTCATCATTACATTGCCATCTCCCTCGGGCCTTAAGCCACGTTTGCCTCGACCGCTGTAACCGTTTATTGACCACCGTGACATCAAGTTAACCCTATCACCAAAGACGCCCGGATCCGTCCGAGTGATCTCGCTCCCTCTGGTCCTAAACAGAGAACCATATCAAGCTAAGCTCCAATTAAAATAAAAACAGCAAAAGAACGATAGAATGATTAAATCGTTAGTCTCGCCGCGGGAAGTGGTATTTCGTTTTCCCTTTCAATTAGAGGTTGATTGGGCTTTTCAGGGGAGGTCAGGTGTGAAATCTGGATTATATATGCGCGGACTCGAAGACACAGACCGCTTTCCCCTCTCGTGTATTTTTTTTTTTTTAACAAACGGAATACCTGACTGGATGTTAAATAAGAGGCGTTAACAGACCCACAACATATCCACTAAAAATGACAGTTTACGTGCAGTATTTCTTTTCATCTATAGCTGCACGCGGGCGCGTGGCCAGGACTCATTCACCATCACCAGCAGACGGCGATAATGGCTCTTTGCCCCGGCAATTTCACGTCATTATACGACTATCCATCCTCTTGGGCTTCGTCTCTCAGACCAACAGTTTTTTTTAACCAAACCTCTTTCAAATAGTTTTCAGCTATAAATGCGCTTAATTTCTCTATCTGACACCTGCTATTACTTCAAACCTTAATTACATACCTGGAAGGAGGAGGGGGTGGGGGTGATGGGGCACAGGAGAGGGAGAGAGAGATGGTTTAAAATTTGATATCTGAGGCGCTTGCTCAGCATCAAGTCGTCTGAGACTAGTTTAGGGGCAGAGTGTATTGCAAATCCTTTGCATAAAAATAGTGAGGCCCAGGCTTCTAGTGCGCGCTGCGAATGTGAGGATAACTTGTTAAATAGGAGAGGAAGCGTCTTTTCAATGTCAAATCTGGGAAGAAAGTTGAAGGTAAAAAAGAATTTCACCCACACTTTTATGCTTCCGAATTTATAAGCTGTCTGATTTCTTCCTTCTTCTTTAAAAAATAAAAATAAAAAATCAGCAGCCATAGTCTAACCTATTTTTTTTTAATATAAATAAATTGAGGTGTTTGACTCATCCTAATCACAGACTGCACCCACTGTTTGGCCGCTACATCAGTGCTAACAAATCTTCGTTATTTTTGTGGATGAAGTCTCCGAGAGCGTGTTTGGAAATTTCAAATGCCTCGTGCTATTTGTGGGATTGACCCTCCTTTCTCCCTCCTCATTCTCCTCCTCCTCCTCCTCCGGTGTGTTCTTCCTCTATGGTCCTCTAGTCACCTGACCAAACCCCATGCAAATCATTCCGCTGCTAGAGCCTCATTGGCCGCTTGTGGCTCATTTAACCGCTGTCAGTGCTCATCATATGGCCGCCGCTTTAACCAACTTCTCAACTCCGACAGGAAAAGTGGCTCAAATGCGCATTCTATCACAGTGGATGTGAACCAGCCCAGGCGAAAACAGGGCGAACTGCTGGTTGGAGAACATTTTATATGCCTTTTCGGATTAATTTTCATCACGTGTTTATTTCAATTTGGGGTAGAATATTAATTTTGTAGCCCAGTCATCTCGAGCGCACCCGTACCTGTGTGCGCCTGACCTGTTGTGAAAGTGACTTTTTTTTTTTCTCTGTTGGTGGCGAAGTTTAAAAACCAGGTGAATGTATAGCATGATGATGGAAACTGACCTTCATTCCCCCGGCCCCCAAACGAACACGACGACGGGGCAAACGGGGCCGAATAGCGGGTCGAAAGCGAATCAGGAGCGAGTGAAGAGACCTATGAACGCGTTCATGGTGTGGTCCCGTGGGCAGCGGAGAAAGATGGCGCAGGAGAACCCCAAAATGCACAACTCTGAAATTAGCAAGCGGCTGGGCGCCGAGTGGAAGCTGATGTCCGAGGCTGAAAAGCGTCCATTCATCGACGAGGCTAAACGGTTGCGAGCCATGCACATGAAGGAGCATCCGGATTACAAGTACCGACCAAGACGGAAGACCAAGACATTGCTGAAAAAGGACAAATATTCCCTTGCTGGTGGACTTCTTTCTGGGCCGAGCGGTGGCGGTGGAGTTGGTTTAGGGGTTGGCATGGGTTCATCCGGGGTCGGGCAGAGGTTGGAGAGCCCCGGAGGTCACGGAGGTTCCGCCAGCTCCGGCTACGCGCACATGAACGGCTGGGCGAACGGTGCGTACTCGGGGCAGGTGGCTGCTGCCGCGGCGGCCGCAGCGATGATGCAGGAGGCTCAGCTAGCCTACAGCCAGCACCCGGGGAGCGGAGCGCACCACCACCACCACTCACACCACCATCATTCACACAACCCCCAGCCCATGCACCGCTATGACATGACAGCCCTGCAGTACAGCCCCATCTCGAACTCTCAGAGCTACATGAACGCTTCCCCATCCGGCTACGGCGGGATCACCTACACGCAGCACCAGAGCTCCGGCGTCTCTTCCTCAGCTGCCATGGGGACATTAGGGTCGCTGGTGAAGTCGGAGCCGAGTGTAAGCCCTCCCGTCAGCAGCACACACTCACGGGGTCCTTGCCCCGGAGACTTGAGAGAGATGATAAGCATGTATTTACCTACCGGAGAGCCGGGGGACCCCTCAATGCAAACTAGACTCCATGCCTTGCCGCAGCATTACCAGAGCGCCACGGCTGGAGTGAACGGGACCGTCCCGCTAACACACATTTAGAACTCATAGAATAATTGAAAACTGCAAACGAACCATAACCAAATATTTACCTCTTTTCTAAAATAACCCCGGTCCTGAGAACTACCTGCATTTTGTACAGAATGTTTATGATATTGTAAATGAAGGGTAAATAGCATATTCATCTCGGCTTTTTTTTGGAATAGCCACCAGTGGAATTATATAACAAATATGATGCTGAGATATTGGTTATTGTGCTATCATTTATTTATTTTTTTGTCCTTTATTTCACAGTCTTAGTTGAGGGTTACGCCAGGTTTTCACATTGGGGAGATTTGCTTCAATTGTCTCATCATTTTTGGGGGTCGGGGGTCGGGGGTGGGGAGGGGGGAGTTTATTGTAAGTTATTTGAAAATGAGATAAGTGTCATAATCATAAGAAAGTGCTTTAAAAGATATGGGAAAATCAGCTTCTTTAAACATTTGTGTTCATTTGCAGAAGTCTGTGTCATAATTCTTGGAAATCATCTCTTTTTATTGTAACACTCTAATTCTTGTAAATTGTGAATAATTTTAATATTTGAAAGGATGACGGGCAACCGCTGTTGTAATTTAAGTGCTTTTCCGCGAGCGAAAAGCTCTGATATTGCAATGAAGAATAATTGAATAAATTTCACAAGATGTTGCTTTGATTCTTAAGAGAACGTCTTAGATTGATTATTTTTCACAGTGGTCTTACAGAAGTGTTTTGTTTTGTTTTAGGTAACAAGAATATCGTCAGAAGTCTTCATGAAAAACAAAAAACAAAATCTGCTATTTAAATTTTGACGCTGGTGGACAGATCCCTCGAGCTTTTAAATGGTCCAATTGTTTGTGCGTAATTACGCGTAAAAGCTACAGCCTGTAGGGCTGTGAGAGAACCATTTCACTTACAGGATGCTGTTTTAGAAGCTGAAGTTTCATGTTGGTAATTAGAAACATGTCCATAAATTGTTTTTAAAAAGTTTGCTTTTCTGTATTTCAGTAGCACGCAGGCTCCAATACTATGAAAACATTTTTTAAATATTCAATGCAGGCCCAGATTGTGGCCCTCGTTCTCCTTTAATATAAATATAAAAGGACAAACTTGATTTAGAATATTTAGAAAAGTTATGATGACATAACGCACAAGAAGAACATTTAGCATGACAGCCACCTGTTAGTGTTATGAACGAAGCCTTCTCGTTTATGAATAGAAATTTGATTTTTGTAATAAGCACATGTCATTTTCCCCTTTTAAAACCTTATGAGATGTGAATCCTTTAATCCTTTATTAGCAAGAGCAGCTTAAATCTTTTTAAAATATATATATATATTTCTAAATGAAACTAGTTCATTATATATTCTACTATTATATTAATCAGTGTGTCTAATTGCAATTTTTTTTTTTCGGAAACTTGCGCCAGAATTTCATTTCTTTTACGATGAAAGCAGATTTGTTTTTAGTATAAACTGCTCTTAAAAACTGAACAACTTCTCCACTGTGTATTTCATTTTTTTAAAGGAAAATATTAAGCTATTGTTTTTTTTTTTATTTAATCACTTTTACCATGTGTTTGATCTCCTGAGATGCCTTTTTTTAAAATTCCAATTTTGCAGCTTCTGTTCTGAACACACTATAAAAAAAAAGAATAAGGCAGGGATAGCAAAGAACAGTTATCTAAAAATGTCTTAAAGAAAGATAAAGATTTTAAAGATACAATTATTTGTTTCTTTAAATAAGGGGATAAAAATCGAAGTCTGGGTTGTCAGTAATCTTTCACCCGAACTGCACCATCAGTTCATCTTGCATCCACTTCTCTTATTAGCTTTATTTTTATGGTGATGTCAGATAATATATGTGAAATATTAGATTATATATATTGATTTCTACGTTATAAGCTAGAATGCGACAGAGGGTAAAAAGAAAAAAAGGGTGGGATTCACAAGAATCCTAATTTCTTTAGCTGCATTTTCATCAGCTTGCTAATCAAAGAACCGGCACTTAAAGAGGCTTGATCACTCGTCTAACAAATAAATGCAATCTATGTTACTTGGCTTTTATTCTAATTATTTGCTCCCATAATGTGAGAAGCAGCAAGGTGGTGGGGGACTTGTTTGCTCCTTTTACTTTTGAGCAAAATAGCAGGAAAGTGAAAGGGGGTGTGGGCAAAGTGCGTGAGGCACAAACTGGGATTCGAACAATAATTTCATGTTCGATAAAAACCACTGAAACTTGAGACTGAACCAACGACCCGTGATTGTAATTAAAGGAGAAAAATCTCTGTTTAGATGAAAAACAGATGCGCAAACCTGACAGTGTCCAAACTGTTGCTCAGACTGAATTTTGACTTCCACTCGTCACAGCTCTACAGACAAGTAGCTTGTTGAGTTGGTGATGACTCATCAGAATTTCACAGATGTAGTGTTTTGATTTTGGACCGGTTTTGGTACCTTTGACAAAAACACCTGCATTTTGAATAAGATGCCCGCGTCATTTTTATAATTATCATTAATCTAAAAGAAATATATATATATTAGGCTGAAGACAGGCCACAGATGTTTTTGAGATTTTCCGTTTTTATCGCCTGTAGGCCTCATATGATACCCTAATAGTCATACACATGCAAATGAGGGAAATTTATGCCTGCTTAGGCATAAAAAAAAATCAATTAATCTCAAATACATAGTTAAAGGGCCTATTTCACACTGATGAAGACTTGCATGGTATGTCAATTAAACCTGTTAGGCCTCATAGTAAAGCATGTAATGTCTGGCTGCGCATTAATCTTTTAGGGGGGAAAAATCAGAGGAACAATGTCTGGAAATTAGTTGAAATTCCAAAACCCGAAAGCAATTGCATCTATGGAGACATCTCCGCAATACAGCGCGCACCGTATGGCAGGGGATGGCCTCCTCGTGTGTTTTTGCATCTGTTTCTATCTTATCTGTTGATGTGAAGAGATGCGGATTAACACTGAAAGCCCGGAGAGGCGGAGCGCGTCACGGCGCATCGCCAGGCTAAAAAGAGGAGCGTTCTGGCAAATTTAACCCGAATAAATTACACCTTGAGGTGGAAGAGGGGGTAAGTGTAGGGTGCAAAGTATACAGGCTATGCTTGCTGCTGCTACTGCTGCGTGCGCTCGCGCGCGCGTGTGAATCTATGTGTGTTTGTGTGAGTGCGCGCACGTACAGCTGGCTGGCCAATAAATCTCTCCACCGTGCGATACCCTTATCTTGTAGCCACCGATATATTCCGTGCTAGGAGGCCATCAGCTCCAGCGCACACTCGGTTGTTCGTAAAGCCCCGATCCCTTGCACTCCCTGTCCTAAATGGGGATAATTAGCGTCACTTTATCACGCCTCTGCATATTTTCTCTGCGTCTCCCCCCTTCCCTAAAAAAAATTACCAAGCAGCCTGCTCTCGTCGCCCGCTCTGTCACAGAAGATTATGGAGACAGATTGCACAGAGCGAATGTGCCGGGCGAGATTAGCGCGGAATAGAGAAAGCAACTGGGCCAATGAATTCCTCGGAAGGGCCTTATCGTGCAATTACACGTTGACATGTTTAACAATCTTGCTGCCTCTTAATCCTGCAGTGCTGCTCTATCTACCCACAGCTACCACGCTATATGCCGGCACACAGACCTAATGCACCGAAACGCGGCACAAATGTACTAAAAGTTATGAGAAATTGCTTTATTTTGAAACTTTGTTCACAACATCCACCAAATGCATTTTTTTTTTTTTTTTTTTTCCAGATTTCACCGTTGCTGGAATAGCATCTGCACTGGAACTTTTTTTTAAAGAGGTGAGATATTAAAATACATCTTCTTCATTTATTGTTAACCCAAATCACTTCTTTACTGTAACAGCTTCACAAAGTGAT